CATGCAACCGCGCCGCTCAGGAGCAGCGAATTCTGTCCCTTAGGCGTGTTGATCATACACGTATCGAGGACTTATCGTGCCACTTACCTTGAGCCCGCCCCCTCTCGACAACGGTTCTGTGGGAAAAGGATTTTCTGAAAAAAAATATCGCGGAGAAGAGTGCCGATAGAGTGAGGACGTTGGGAAAGTTAGGAAGATGGTGGATAGGATGGGAACTGGGAAGCGGGAGTACAAGAGGAAGAGCTCCATTGGCCCTTTTAGCCCGACATAGTGTAAAAAAAACATCTTGAAGTAGAACCTCAAAAAAGCAAGTCGACCGCTCGATGATTTTCTCTGGAAACATGACCATTTACAAAGGATGATACTATCACAGCATGGATATTGTTATACAATTCGACGTTACAGTACACATGTGCATTCTCAGTTTACTCAGTGAGTTTGACCACTTGGGTACGTCCTCTCTACGTTGCCTTCTTCTTTGGACCCACTCGTCTACTACCATTTCAGCTACTAAAAGAGCCGAAAACATAATAACAGTCCTGCTGATGTGAGTAGTTTTAACGCACATTGACTTATCGAGGGAAACAACATTAATCAGTTATTCAGATGTCGGGAAAAAACAATGAGAGACATACTATTTTGAAGAAGATGTTCAGCATCTATCAAGGCAGTAAGGTGACATATAATGACCGACAACAGCGCTATGTGACTTGCGTGAGATCACCTTCAAGGGTGGCTGAGCCACGTCATGTCTCGTCTGCACCTTCTCGCCAAGACAGCGTGCCTTGTCCAACTTAGCTTGGTTAACTGTAAAATATGACAATCTCTCACTGTGTCCTCTCTAGGACACAGTGCAGGCTGCGTTTACTTTGCGGCAGCGTAGCGTAGCGTAGCGCAGCGTAGCGTAGCGCTTCCAGCGTACGCCAGCGGCAGTGCCGAAGAGAGGATGCATATCGATCTAGCTTCACCAGCGTCACCAGCGGCACGCTGGCGTACGCTAGCGTACGCCAGCGGCACGCTAGCGCACGCTGGCGTAGCGAGGGCACGGGAAGCATAGCTATCGATCTAGCTTCACCAGCGTTTCTCCAGCGTTTTCCCAGCGCTTCCAGCGACGGGGCTAGAGAGGGGCTAGAGAGCACTGGACGGAGGAGAGTACAAAGTACTCTCCTCCGTTCAGTGCTCTCTAGCCCCTCTCTAGCCTCCGTCGCTGCAAGGCTAGAGAGGGGCTAGAGAGCACTGAACGGAAAAAAAAAAAAAACGAGAGGACTTTGTGCTCCCTCCTTCAATGCTCTCTAGCCCCCTCTAGCCCCGACCGCTGAAGCGCTGGAAAACGCTGGGAGAAAACGTGGGCTTGAAGCTAATCGATAGCATGCTTTACCATGCCTCGCTACGCCAGCGTGCGCTAGCGTGCCGCTGGCGTACGCTAGCGTACGCCAGCGTGCCGCTGGTGACGCTGGTGAAGCTAGATCGATATGCATCTTCTCTTCGGCACTGCCGCTGGCGTACGCTGGAAGCGCTACGCTACGCTGCGCTACGCTACGCTACGCTGCCGCAAAGTATAAACGCAGCCTAAGTTAGCTTCTGTCAGAACGTTATCATCCTCTCACTCCTACAACGCATGACGCGGCTTCGTCGCGTCAGAACATGACCTGGCTAAGCTTCACTGGAGACTGCCCCCAAGGCACATGGCACCTCTATACGTTCAGACTACATCGTATCCAAATCCCTTGACTATCGTAAATCGTATCTCTTGACGTTTAGGAAGCTTTCAAGCATGTAACAGAAGGAAAGAAAACACAAGAGATAAGTGGCGTCAAATATGGTGAGTAGCTTTTGTAGTCTGGTTTGCTGCGGACGAGGGGGCGTCCGGCGGGAGGATTTGGCGCGGCGCCAAACCCGTTCTCTACCGGATAGGGCGGCAGTACAACATCAACTGATGGAAGTCGAGTGATAGGAACGAGATGATGGACTCCTATCGCTTCCCCGCTTCAACAACCGACCAGACTGCATTTGGAGACATTCGACTTGTCTTCTACCACCGAAGAACTCCTTCGATTACTGAATACACCAGCTCTTCCCACCAGCACTCCTTCTCCCACGTGCAGCTGCCGCCTCCCCCTCCCAGCTGTGCTATGCATCGCTCGCTTGTGCTCATTTCCGGTTGTAACTCTCCACCCAACGGCCTGGTAGCCACAGTATCGACTGGGTTCATCTGAAGCAAAAGAGCTATCAAGTAGGTTTAGTCACGAAGCTCACAAACGATTACTAGCAAAGCCTTACTGCCTCCCTGTTATCGGTCGGTTTGCCAGTGCTTCCGACTCTTCTCCTTACTTTACCCACGATGCCTGTGTTCCCCGTTCCCCTTCTCCGTGCTACAACCTACGTGCTCCTACTTTCCTCCGCAAACCCTTCCACCTGTGCAGTGAGTTGTTGGACGTGCTGCAAGTAACTCATGTTACTAGTTGTACTCGTAACTCCATTGGTAGCAGCCTCTTCTACCAACAGGGTACATCATCGTGATGTGTGAAATGGCGGTGTAGGTACGATCCCCCCCTATGAGGGTCTCAGTACGACTCCACCTCTTCCAACGACCAATTATGATCCCCTTCCTCCTCCCAAACGGAAGAGTACGACCTCCCTATGTGTTTACAAACAACGATGCTGTACCCTATCTACCAATTATCTCCCCACAGCCCACTAGTTTTCGCAACAGACGGATAAGCATAGATTGATCTCCTTGGCACTGAAATCTCAACTCGTTATAGCCACGGATTTGTACTAAGTTTGCACTTTTCAGGCGTCAAGCAACCTGTCCAGCAAATTAAGGTATGGTAGGAAAGAATGAACGTAATTCTTTCACACTTCACATAAGATTGAACTCACGTTGAACACCGCACTTCAGGACATGCTAGTACAAAATGAAGATTGTTTACGTGCTAACAATAGAAGCGCTCATCCAAAATGTAAACTTTACTTCGCTGCGGACGGTTGGGCGTGTCAGCCAGTATGAGTGTGTCACCCTTTCAAAGCCGTTCCTCTGCCTTCTTGTTGAAACGCGCATGCGACAAAAAGTGGTAGAAAGCGAGTAATACGAAGGATATGATACAGTATTTTCACTTGCCCACTCCAACAACTGGTGGAGAGCGAGTGGCACCGCGCCAAACCAGCCGCACTGACACACCAACCGTCCGCAGCGAACTACACTATAAGCGCATGGCCACATTCATACACAGCATTTAGGAGAAATGTAGAAACCGCGAAAAGAGTTAGACTCGTTGTTGTTGGTTCCGTTCCACCCAACTGTAGTATTAGCCAGAAAGACTGGTCAGGACGTCCGTGTTGCGACGTCGCAGCACCCTGTGTGCGCGGCCTCTGAGCCAGGGCCTAATCCATTCGGAGCCAAAGTTCTACGGTGTGCTGAGTTAACAGCGAGTGAAAACAAGCTAGAGCGCATCTCGATGCACTGCCTTTCCTGCCATATTCTGCAACGGCTCTGGTCGTCTGCACTGCCATTCGCCGCTCTACTAGCTCCGAGCCCTAAAGTAAGCTCAAAGGCATAAGGCGCAACAATTGATACTTGATTTCGATAACTGATATGTAAAAAAAAGAAGCAGGGGTGCTAAAGAGAAATGACGAAAAAGCAAAGTTAAATGACCGAAATCCTCCGAAAATCCTGTTCTACACGGCATTAGACGAGCAACCTTGGACGAGTTTTCCGTTGGCGTCCTGCCAATAACTACTTTGATGGATACGGCTGCACTTATGTATTCACATATCGATGTAGCAATGATTCACATCAATTGTACTTCATGAAATGAAGCAACAAAACTATCAATGTCGATGTGACTGTGCGGCCATTTGTGGGCGAGCGGATGCGGTGGGCGTACTGGTCGGCATGTTGCAGCTTGATAGGGCCACAAGGGTACAAGGCGCCTTGCAGCCTGCTCATGACATCAAATTCTATCCTGCTAGGCATGCTTTAGCCTACAAGCCTTGTGGAAGTATTGTGCCACCCTCCTTCAAAACATAAAAGTGATTCTGCTTTGCCCAGGTTGCCTATTTCTACCGATCGCCTCTATATGGGATTGCCTGCTCCTTTTCGCTGTTTCTTCAACTCATCAGTTCTCCAACCCGATGCGTACACTTTTTCGCGGACTCTTCCATTCTCTATTTCTGTGATGAGTAGGAACGCGGCCATGCAGCGAGTTCAACAACTCAGTTCTTACTAAAGGAAGAAAGGAATAGCTGAGAAATTGTAGGCAGTTGATGCGCAAGAGCTCGAACAATTTGAAAATGTATCGAGAATGCGGCCAGCGTTAGCTCGTATACACACTCGTGAGCTGAGGTGAGCATCATCTGCAAAAATCGACAGTAGTCTCTGCGGTACTATTGTTTCCAGGTGGAAGGACGATCTCGAAGAAGGGGAGGCTAACGAAACAACGGTATGTATTTTAATAAACATCCATGCGATATCTGCGCAACAGTCTTCTAGCACCCAATTTAGCGCTTGAATTTGG